ATACGTGATATCGAGTTTGTGGTGTAGGAAGACATGTTCAGATCATCACAGAATCTAAGAAAAATATTGCTGATATCTTGAGAAACTTTACCCAAGTATGGAATTGAAGCAAACCATCTCCTTTGATTAGTAGTTGGTAGTAAACTACGGTTAGCAAACTTGTTTAAATGGCGATTGTAAATTTTATCAATTAAATGAAAGGGAAACCCATTGTTATGTGTTATTTGTTTAATAATGTTCAATTCAGCAATGAAATTTTCAGGAGAGAGTGGAATGTTGAAAAGCCTATGGAAAAAACTATTGAAAGCTGCAAATTTATGAGAATTAGGGTGACAAGAAGAGAAAGGAATTACATAGTCAGTGTGTGTGGGTTTCCTATATATAGCGAAACTAAATTTGTCAACATTTTTAGTGATTAATAAATCTAGAAATGGTAGAGTGTTATTTTGTGCAATTTCCATTGTGAATTTGATGGCCGGATGTAATGAATTCAGAAAATCTAGGAGTAGATGAACTTCATTTGGATCACCATCATAAAGCACCAAACAATCATCTACATATCTGTACCAGAATTTAATTTTGGCAAAAAAAGAATTTTAAATTTTCTTCAGGATTTTGAAGAAAATTTAAAATTGTTTCCTTTTTCTGCGACATGATTTCTGCATACCAGTGTACTTGTACCTGTTGAGGAATTGTGTCAATTGTGTGATAGAGAAAAGGGACATCAATTCGAATAATTCAATGAATAAGTTACTGAATGATTTCGAAATTCAATTGTTTTAGTAAATATTGAAACAGCTGCTTATTCAACATTATGTATACTTCTTATTACTATTTATTTGTTGCTATCTGGTACCTACGTTTTGTTTTGTGTTAGTTATTCAGTGTTGGAATTGTTTTTTTCTCTTCATGGTAAAATCAAAAGTTCAAGTGGAACTTTTTTATTTAAAAAATCTATATCACTATGAAAGTCCATGCTTCATTGATTTTGGAGCATCTTTGAAAATTTTATATTCATAACATTATACATAATTCGAAAGGAAAGAAAACAAGGAATTTGATGAGCGGATGAAATACAGGGTGTTCTACTGAAAAAATCATAAGTTTGATGCGTACTCATCTCCAAAATCATATACTTACCCCGAAAAAAAAAAATGAGTGCGCCACTAGTTTCTGAGTGACATTCTCTATGAGATAAAATTTCAATTAGTCATTATCGCATTTTTCATCACTGAGGAACTTCGTTGATATGGAGATGGTCGACATAGTGTGAAATGTACAGTGCTTTATACGTAACCAGTTAGGAAACGCGTCATTTTGTTTGACGACGGGATTATGCGAGACGAACGAACGTATTACGTGTAATTTTTTTTCTAATTTTGCTAGAAATTTTCGCTCGAACAGATAATATGATGACCATCATTTCTACATGAATTCTACCGATTATGTACAAAAATTGAGTATAGGCAAGTCGACTCCGCCCGTTACTTCGAAGTATCCGACTATCCGTCATAAAATAATATGGTCGCAAATTAGTGACCAAATTCACGAAAAAGACTCGTTCGATACTTCCATCAGTGAAAAATGGCTGATTCAAGTTCAGTTTTTCCAACTGATATTGAGAAAGCAGCTTGAAATACATTATTCTTTTCGTCCAACCACATATTCAATAACGTAACTGGTGCTGTAGTGAATAATATTTCATCACCAGTTGAACCAGTTATGTTATATTTCACTTTACACCACAGGTTATACGAAAAGTGAGAAGTTTCAATATTTCCGTAGTTTTGAGAAGTTCCACATCACATGTCAAATTGAATAAAAAAGAATTTCGAGCCAAACTCAATATTTCCAAGGGATATCCTGAAACAGGTTGATTTTCATTCTCAATTTCCACATTTATAATAGACAATTTCTCGAATGGAACATCCTATCAACTATTGAATTCTCGAAATCTTCATGGAAAGCTGAATTCAGGGTGTTCCATTGAAAAAAAAAACACAAAGCTATTAGCCTACCCGAAAAAACGAATGACACTGTGTATAAAACAACTACACAAAATAAAAGTTTGGGTGGTTTCAAACTTTTTCATAATATTCCTATAAAAACAACATAATGACCTCTTTATACTGAACTTTCCTTGAATAAAGTACCATTCCTATTTCACATTCCTGGGGGGAATTTGAGACTAAGAAAATTGTTTGAAATGATGACTTAATAAAAACAAATTATCATAGGGATTTCCTTTCGTGCGCTTCGAGCGTTGAAAAATATGTTCCATCAATAACTAATCCAAGTGCTTCGTAAATTTTTTATTTTATAAGGATGCTTGCCAAAAATTCGACGGATGACGTCACAATGTGTACATGATGATTGCAGACAAAAAGGTTCCTGCATGATCCGCCATTTTGAAAACAAATGTCATTTGAAAGGTATTTTTTCGCTCTATCGACTTACGTAAAATTATTCATACAGAGTGCCATCTGAATTTCAGTAAAATTTTGGGGCAAATCCTCTGTAGGTACTTGTACAGTGTGCAACATATGGAAATTTTTTTGATGAATTGCACAACCAAAATACAGATAGTGTCAAAGGTTGGTGCATGTTCGGTAATCATTTAAGGTGCACTTAGAATCGTTGCAAGTCAAACAGCATACAGGGTAGGTCAAAAAAAATAAAAAATGCTCAGGAGTAAAGTACCCTTATTTCAGAAAATTCAGCAAACTGTTATGGAAAAGAGTTCTTTACAATTGAAAGTTTTTCCTGAATACCAAAACATGGCCTCCTAAGACATATTTTAGTGTTTCGATTTGTTCCATTAATAACTTCCCAATTTGTATTTTTTTTTATATTCACCCTAAACACTTTCATAATTTGATCATAAAAAAATCAGTTGATCATACTTTTGTTGAAATTAATGCACTTTTGTGCAATCAACTTGGATTTTATTTTTTTAGGGAATCACAAACTTGATGTTTGTTGCAACGATATACAGCTTAATTTTGAGATTTCGCAAACCATATTTTCAACAAGGTAAAACATCATTAGATAAGGAGTATGTCACCAAACTGCCTCAATATTTACTGTCAACCCTCATTTGTTCTGTTCCTTGGGTGTCCGTGATTTTTCAAAAGATATCATGGTTGTCGATCAATTTGTTCAGCTTTTTCCCTACAAGGTGGTCAAAAAATCTAAATTTATAATTTGTTTCGATTAAATGTCAATTGAACACCAATTGATAGTGAGTGAAAAGTTGACATAGGGACATGTAAACCGTTTTGACGAATAATGAACAGTTTCGACAGAAAAAAATCCTGAACTTGGAAAATCTCGATTTTGCACACCCTATATGTCAGTAACTTTCACTGCTAGACCCTAAGTATGATACGTCGTTGAAATCAGATCGTCAGGGAGAATTTAAAAATAAAATAAAATATAGGGTGTTCGAATGAAAAAAACATAGCTTTGATGTGCTGTGACCTTACGGAACACCCTGTGTATTTCAAAGAAATTTCGAAATGTGAAGCTCGGTTATCACTTCGATTTGATTGCGAAACTTTTTTTTGTATCTCTCAAGACAACAGAGGTATCGAACTCTGGATTCTTAGTTGGCCACCCTGTACATCTACTTCGACAGAAACAAGACGCTGTTAAAAGGTGTCGTCTTCAGACAATACGGGAAACCGTGCACTGAATATTCTAGGAATCACCTTTCAGTTATAATTTCATTCTCTTTCCCACATTCTGTGGACAGTCAAGATACATTGTTCATGTAAGACAGTTGACAAATATATTAATAAACCATCAATAAAACTCGGACCTTGTGGCATCATAAGTTATTTCCTGTCATCACTCATCTGTCAGTTTAGCGGCGTACGTACGAAACTGGCAATATCTCTGTTTCGAAACGCAGAATAGTGTCAATCTAATGCCAATAAAATCGCCTGTAATAGTGCCTACCGTTTTTGCAATATCTCTCTAATATCTCTGTTTCGAAACGCAGAATAGTGTCAATCTAATGCCAATAAAATCGCCTGTAATACTGCCTACCGTTTTTGCAATATCTCTCTATTATTTCAAGTATCATGTTTTGTGCTGATTGCAGGCTCCTTATCGTATTATTGAGAGTAAAAATCATTAGATTTTTTCGGGAAGGAATATCTCTGAGAACATAGAACTTATGCATGAGTAGCCTCATTTTTTTTGTAATATATGTTCATTCCACTTCATATACTGATCCAGAATGAGTCCTAGATATTTGATAGATTCAGTTCTCTCGATTTTAGAGCAGTTACAGTTTTTTTCATTTTTACAAATAGTCAGTAGAAGTTGAAGAGAAAGTCATATTTTTTTGTTTTTTTCACATGGAGACTTAACAAATTGTCATTGAGCCACATATATATATATATATATATATATATATATATATATATATATATATATATATTTGCGGCCAGCTATCAAAGTGAGGACACACCACACAGTCGACGTTGTGAGGACTATCAGAAGGAATCATGCTAGACGCTCTCTAAGCCTTCTCCGTCCTTATTCAATAATGGACGTCATGGGGTTCTGAAATATACGCGTAAAATATTTACTATTTAGGATTTAGTTTTCACGCCAATATATGAACGAAGTGAGGACTGTACACCACAATATCAAAGTGAGGTCCGTTTACTTTTTTCATGCCCCTACCAGAGTGAGGTCCATTTATTGTGTATATAGCCTTGAAGCGTATGAAGTGAGGACCACACAATGTTGCCATATGTCACTGCGCATGCCTTATGTGTCTCAGTTGAGCACGCGAAGTTCGCAGGAATACGAATAACGAATAACATAACTGTTGATGTTATTCTGCGCTGCACTGTAGTGTGAGTGAGTTGTGTTGGGAGGTTGGGAGTAAAAGCGTGGGTCGCGTTTATTATTTGACGAAGAAAGGTAAATATTATTCAACTTTGATTTGTGAGTTCGATGTCATATATGTGTTTGATTATTTTCAGGATGGATCGTAAAACAAGGATCCTGAAGAAGGCTCTAAGCGATGGAGATAAAACCACAATGAGATATTTACAGATCCCAAAATATGAAAGTACGAAGGGTCTTGATACAAATGAAATTGAAAACTTGCTCAAAAGTGAGTATGATATGCATGGATAATGTTGTTCATTTATCAAATTCTATTCATTTTTGAAACTGAATAATTATTCGTTTTCATACAGTGTGTCCAAAATTCGATACTCACAATCGGAATCTCCGTAAGTATGGTAGATAGAACAAAGGTTGAATGAAAAAAGTGTTTATAAATCTAATGGAGATGTAAATTCTGTAGAGAAGGCCGACATGAGTTTGATTGTTTTCGAGTTATTTGAAAGAAAACAGAATTGCTTATATTCTATTTTATTTTCAATGATTGTCAATTTCCGAGAACGCCACTATCACGAATTATTCAGCATGAAATTTCCCTCCATCAGACTAATAGTTTTCATTTAGGTATAAATTATGACATGGGAGTCAAAACTTGAGGATCTAGATATTGGTGAACAATTCTAATTAAGTAAGCATGAATTGAAATACAAGGAAATTTAATGCTGATTCCAAATTTGTCAAAATTCAATAAGGCGTGTGAGAGGAAAATTGAAGTTGTCATAAGTAAAATCACGATGTTCTGAATATTTGAGACGATTCTGTCGCTTCATTGTTCACGAAATCGTGTTGCCAAGCAACACCACGAGTCCGTCAGGACGAGTGGTATTGCTGTTCGGCAACACAATCAAAACTGTGAGTAAACCTTTCACGAAATTGAAAGATAAAACTCCAAATATTGATAGAGCTGGTGTAGTATATGAGATAAATTGTAAAGAATGTGATCTAAAATATATTGGAGAGACATCTAGAAATTTGAAATCAAGAATTACATCGCATAAAAGTGATATTCGTGTAAAACCAAATGCATGCGCTTTATCCCAACATGTTAATGATACTGGACATCCAATGGATTTTGATAACATCTCGATATTAGTATCAGAGAAAAATACTTTCAAGAGATGTTTCTTAGAAATGATTTATATAAAAAATGAAAAATGCTCAATGAATAAAAAAACAGATATTCAAAATTTAAATGTAATTTATTCAAATATTCTAGAAATAGAGAATAAAAGGCATGATAGACACAATATATCCATAAATTCATTTCCATCTTGATCAACCTTTTACCTATCTAATTTTTCAACCCCATGTATTTTTTCATGTTACATATTGTCACTTTGACAAAGTTATATTAGTTTTATATCCATCAATTTATGCATTTTTTACAATTTTATACTACATATTATTCTGATTTGCAATTCTACAACCTCATATACTGTAAGTAATTTTTAATACCCATTTCTTCTGAATATTATAATTGTGCATTTCATTTTAGAGAGACTGACGAAGGAATTAAATAAATTCCGAAAGCTTTCTCAAAAGTAAAAAGAGTTTTCTTTTGAGTCCCACATCAGCTGCATCCCCACAAAACCTATACCTAATCTATTGATTTATACAGCTACTAATATTAATTGAATATAACAATTGTAATGGGGTTCTACCAGAATATTTCATCACGATATGGAATTGACTGTATGAGACATCTCAAGAAATGGGCGAATTTCAACATCAAATTAGCATCTCAGAATAACAGGAAGATTTTCCTACTACAATGCAGAACTCTTGGATTGATACCTAGACATATACAAGATCAGACTAAAAATATATATGGTTGTATAGATATACAAGACGGAAGAACTGGTCAAGTTATCAAAAATGCAAGTAAAAGGTTGAACAAGAACATATTAAATATTGAAATCAATGTTAATCATACTAACATAAATCGAATCACTAATGAAAAGAACAAATTAGAAACAATCATTTGTGAAATTATCCCAAATAATATTTGGAACGATTTCAAAGCTAGACAAACAATTTCATATAATAGAAGGTTCCATGAAATTAAAAAGATTAATTTGAATGAAATACAGAAATTGAAATCTGTTTCGAAAAGTAATATTAAAATCAAAACAAATTGGTTCAAAAACTTAACTTCAGTAGAAATTCCTACCGAAGTAATCAATTTATTATCACTAGGACCTAAATTTAGTATCCAACCAACCATCAATGATATTTCTATAAAACATCTTTTGGCAGATATCGAGTTTTCAATTAGTCACATCAATAATCCTGATCAAAAAAATATCTATATTTCTCAGATTACTAATATAATTACTAACTTTTTACATAACAATCCTTCAGAATACTCTGAATTTAATACATGGTTTGATAAAACAAGAAAATTCTTGAAAGAACATCCTGAAATATATATCACTAAGTCAGATAAAGGAAATGTAACAGTAGCAATTAATAGAGATCAATATAATGAATTAGCTGAAAATAATGTGAGTGATGAGAATTATTACAAAAAAATTCGTAAAGATCCTACATCAGGAACACAACGAAGAGCTAATAAGCTAGTTAGTCAACTGAAGAAAACTGGAGAAATAAGTGATGTTATCGCCAAAACACTAACAATTTACAACTCCATATCTCCAAAATTCTATGGACTACCCAAAATACATAAACCCACACTATCTCTCAGACCAATTATTGCTTCTATCGATGCTCCTACCAGTAAACTGACAAAATTTGTAACTGATATTTTAACATCTTCATATAATTTTGATAATCAATATTATATTGAAGATTCTTTCAAGTTTTCTGAATTCATTAATGACTTTCAACTACCAGAAAATTATGTTATTATAAGTCTTGATGCAGTATCACTCTTTACAAATATTTCTGAAGACTTAGTTATAGATAGTATCAATAATAATTGGGTTAGAATTGAAGAATATTGCACATTGAGTAAAAATTCATTAATCAATGTAATTAAATTCATTTTTAAAAATACATTCTTCTCTTTGAATGGACAATTTTATCAACAAATTTTTGGAACTCCAATGGGTTCAAAAATATCACCTATTCTGGCACAATACGTTTTAGATGATTTATTAAATTATTGCATACCTAAATTGTCATTCGAATTACCATTTTTAAAAAAATATGTAGATGATATAATTTGTGCTATTCCCAAAGGCTCAGAAAATGAAATTCTCGATGTATTTAACAGTTATAATGAATATTTACAATTTACTATTGAAAATGAAAGTAATAATAGTGTACCATTTCTTGACACCAGACTTATTAGGACAGAAGAAAATAAAATTATATTAGACTGGTATATCAAACCTACTAGTTCAGGAAGATATATGAATTATTTCTCTTATCACACAGAGAAAACTAAAATAAATTTGATTCTTGGAATGAAAAATAGAATAATAAAAATATGTCATCCAAATCTTAAACAACAAAATTTGAGAAAATTATTCGATTTATTGATTGAAAATTCCTATCCAAAACATTTACTCAACAAATTACTCTTTTCAACTCCAAATATTTCAGATAATAGAACCACTCAATTACATAACAATGATATAAACATTAGAAATACACAGCCTGATATTATTTAAAAAAAATATAGATCATTACCATATATCAGGGATCTGACTTCAAAAATTAATAATGTACTAAAACAACAAGATGAAATTGTAATGACTAACAAACCAATCAAAACTGTGAGTAAACTTTTCACGAAATTGAAAGATAAAACTCCAAATATTGATAGAGCTGGTGTAGTATATGAGATAAATTGTAAAGAATGTGATCTAAAATATATTGGAGAGACATCTAGAAATTTGAAATCAAGAATTACATCGCATAAAAGTGATATTCGTGTAAAACCAAATGCATGCGCTTTATCCCAACATGTTAATGATACTGGACATCCAATGGATTTTGATAACATCTCGATATTAGTATCAGAGAAAAATACTTTCAAGAGATGTTTCTTAGAAATGATTTATATAAAAAATGAAAAATGCTCAATGAATAAAAAAACAGATATTCAAAATTTAAATGTAATTTATTCAAATATTCTAGAAATAGAGAATAAAAGGCATGATAGACACAATATATCCATAAATTCAATTCCATCTTGATCAACCTTTTACCTATCTAATTTTTCAACCCCATGTATTTTTTCATGTTACATATTGTCACTTTGACAAAGTTATATTAGTTTTATATCCATCAATTTATGCATTTTTTACAATTTTATACTACATATTATTCTGATTTGCAATTCTACAACCTCATATACTGTAAGTAATTTTTAATACCCATTTCTTCTGAATATTATAATTGTGCATTCCATTTTAGAGAGACTGACGAAGGAATTAAATAAATTCCGAAAGCTTTCTCAAAAGTAAAAAGAGTTTTCTTTTGAGTCCCACATCAGCTGCATCCCCACAAAACCTATACCTAATCTATTGATTTATACAGCTACTAATATTAATTGAATATATATATATATATATATATATATAAAAATACATTAACTTTAGAAACAGTTCCAAAGGAAATCTTTCTAGGTGAGGTTGCAGTCAAAATTTTGGCCTTAATGAGAGGACTCTTTGTTACATAGCCGAGCTTTCGGAAATGTTTATTTCCTTTATCAAGACATCTATAAAGGAAATAAACATTTCCGAAAGCTCGGCTATGTAACAAAGAGTCCTCTCATTAAGGCCAAAATTTTGACTGCAACCTCACCTAGAAAGATTTCCTTTGGAACTGTTTCTAAAGTTAATGTATTTTTACCTTAACTAGTCAGTCACGACTACCCTCCTCCTAACTATATATATATATATATATATATATATATATATATATATATATATATATATATATATATATATATATATATATATATATATATATATATACGTTTTAAAACCAAGTCGAGATCCGGATAAATCTTGGACAACCTGAGATCCACCCTAACCAATATGAATTTCCGAATATATATTCCATATATTTTGAAGAAATCAGCTTTTTAATGTTTACCACCACAGAGGGGTAACATTTTCATGAAATAAATTTTATGATGAAATGAAACCTAGGCGAGATCTACGGAATAATACACGTAAGTTGAGATCCAATCATGTATATACTGACGTTTACTGATTAAGGTGAGATCCCGCGCTG